CCTGCCTGATTCAGATTCACGGTAGCGTGTGATTATTCCTCTGACAGAGCAGCACACTATTATATCATCCCGTTCATCTCTCACATAAAATGAGCTTTTTAGAGATGCTGCAAAATGCTGGCATTTTAGCTTATGCTTTTTGACAGTGGCTTCCGCTTATATAACTACAGTGCTGATTCCTAAAACGTCAAGCAGATATTTATGACACATAATTTCTCATTTTAAGACAACGTGGGGAAAGGTGATGTCTGTTACCTTATGTCAAGCATATCGCTCTAGCCCAGGTAGCCTATATGGAACATGGCAATGCCGCTTTAGCCCAGGCATGGAACGTGGCAAGAATGTCACTCTAGGCCAGATATCATGGGACGCGACCCTGGAAACCCTACCTCCCTCCCCACATATAACAATTCTGTTTTCAATTATTATTTTTTATTTTTTTACATTTGGAAATAACCTGATTATGTGTAATATAGTCGTATAGGTTATTCTTTGAGAAAAAGTTATTCTAAATAAATAAAAATGTATATTTCATTTCCATCCTTGGGAATGTGAGGGTGAAGTTGGCCAGACCAGAGACGTTTAACCCACCATCTACTATAACCCAACTTTCTTAAATTAATAAAGACATGTATGGAATAATCTCACTATTCAAATGTGAACATAAAAGGTCAAGGAGAAATGCTAACCGGGATAGAGAAATAGAAGGCGAAATAGTTGTCATCGTTGGAAATAGGCTTCTGAGAATTCCTACTCATGAGCGCATTTCTGCTCAATACACCATTATTTAGACGTAGCCTGCGCCTATAGCCCATTTCCAACACAATTCCCTGAGAAATACATATCATAAAATATTGCTGAACCGTGGAATACGTACCTTCAAGAAGGCTTTTGGAAAAGTAGGACTGGGTGAGTTTCCCACCCATGAATATCAAATTCACCCAGTAGGAAAACACATCCTCGTTTTCTCTTGAACGATACTTTCCCCTACGGTTGATTTCAATGAAGAAGTCTCATACATCCACACGGATTGTGAACCGAAATCACCATACGTGCAGCCTCTCCTCTCTACTCCATCTCCGTATCGGCTATAAACCGCCGCATATGCGTCCAAGGACTTGAATTTGAAGCTTGGAAGGCAACGACAGCATTGGTCGGTTTCTCTCTCTGCACGAAATGTGCACTATGTTACCAAACTGGGCATCCAATGTTGCACCATACCACATTGTGCAGTAATTTAACAAAATGCAAAAATCGATTTAAGCTCTCAAAGCCATGAATAGTCGGACCTGGAGGACTACACCTTCTTGCCATCATTCTACTCGAGATTGTCCATAGGTTATCGTTGAAATTGTTGCCTGTTTGACTCCAAGTTCTAATGGTGGCTGTAGCTTTTAGGATGTAATTATATTTTTTATACGTATTCAACATCAATTAGTAGCTGTGTCGACGAGGTTGTGGAGGTAAATTGTGCGGATTCAATTAGGCTACTGTTACTTGTACAATATCACCCTCTTGTGGCACGTGATGGCACACGCTTGACTTCTCAGTGACTTATTGAAATTTTTAAAGTAAGGAATATATTCAGTTGTTGCTATAAACTTTGTTGGAAGTGTACCCCGTGTAGCTTCCCTGTATCTAAGTTTTAGGCTACTGCCTAGGCCCTTTAGCCACAGGGACACTGTGTCAGGTTTTATGAGTATTGATAGCAAGCTATATGTGCTCAGATATATTCAAAACCTGCGAAAAAAATTAAGAGACCACTGCAAAATTATCAGTTTCTCTGGTTTTACTATTTATAGGTATGTGTTTGGGTAAAAATAACATTTTTGTTTTATTCTATAAACTACTGACAACATTTCTCCCAAATTCCAAATGAAAATATTGTCATTTAGAGCATTTATTTGCAGAAGATTACAACTGGTTAAAAGAACAAAAAAGATGCAGTGTTGTCAGACCTCGAATAATGCAAAGAAAATAAGTTCATGTTCATTTTTAAACAACACAATAGTAATGTTTTAACTTAGAAAGAGTTCAGAAATCAATATTTGGTGGAATAACCCTGATTTTCAATCACAGCTTTCATGCATCTTGGCATGCTCTCCACCAGTCTTTCACATTGATGTTGGGTGACTTTATGCCACTCCTGGCTCAAAACTTCAAGCAGCTCGGCTTTGTTTGATGGCTTGTGACCATCCATCTTCCTCTTGATCACATTCCAGAAGTTTTCAATGGGGTTCAGGTCTGGAGATTGGGCTGGCCATGACAGGGTCTTGATCTGGTGGTCCTCCATCCACACCTTGATTGACCTGGCTGTGTGGCATGGCGCATTGTCCTGCTGGAAAAACCAATCCTCAGAGTTGGGGAACAATGTCAGAGCAAAAGGAAGCAAGTTTTCTTCCAGGACAACCTTGTACGTGGCTTGATTCATGCGTCCTTCACAAAGACAAATCTGCCCGATTCCAGCCTTGCTGAAGCACCCCCAGATCATCACCGATCCTCCACCAAATTTCGCCGTGGGTGCGAGACACTGTGGCTTGTAGGCCTCTCCAGGTCTCCGTCTAACCATTAGACATCCAGGTGTTGGACAAAGCTGAAAATTGGACTCATCAGAGAAGATGACCTTACTCCAGTCCTCTAAGGTCCAATCCTTATGGTCTTTTGCAAACCTCAGCCTGGCTCTTCTTTGCTTCTCATTGATGAAGGGCTTTTTTCTAGCTTTGCACGACTTCAGCCCTGCCCCTAGGAGCCTGTTTCGAACCGTCCTCGCCGTGCACTTCACCCCAGCTGCCATTTGCCATTCTTTTTGTAGGTCACTTGATGTCATCCTACGGTTGTTGAGTGACATTCGAATGAGTTGGCGGTCATCCCGATCAGTAGAGAGTCATTTTCGCCTTCTGCCGGTCTGTAGCTTTGTTGTTCCCAATGTCTGCTGCTTGACCTTGTTCTTATGAACCGCAGTCTTTGAAATTTTAAGGATGGAAGCAACCTGACGCTCACTGTATCCCTCTGCCAGTAAAGCCAGAATTGAACCCTTCTTTTCCTCACTCTGAATTTTCCTTTACAACTGTTTTGGCATGGTCAATAGTAATTTTTTTTATTAATATTACTTTTGAGGTACTATTAGCACTGTTTTTGCCATCCAGCTGGTCTTATTGCAAGAGGATAGTGATGACCACAGCAGTGGTTTTTATACTTTTTCTCGTTAAATAAGATTTGGTTCATGTGATCACCTAATCAGTACCTAATTCAGTAGAATGAGGTGTGCCTGTGTTGGAATTCAACAGACACTGGAATGGAATGGCTGTCATACATGTAGAGATGCTGATTTAAGAAACATTTGCAGTGGTCTCTTAATTTTTTCCACAGCTGTATATGACGAATTCGTTCTTCACGAATGCGTAAAACTGTAAAACTCATTGGGGGAGTGTGCGTAAAACTGTATAGTCCATAAGTGTACATTAGTTAAAGTCGTTTAGTATGTTTTCTTTCACATAAGGGATATAGTCTCAAATTCCATAATGATAATAGGCTATAAACCATTGACATGACTCGTGACCAAGTCATTGTGTCATGCCAGCCATATTGCTGCGTAAAATGTACATATTTTAGACGATTTTATTGACTTTCATTAGAACCTATATTTTACTGTTCATCTGTAAATGAAAATAATATTTCATAACCTGTGCGTAATGTTGCAACTGTTGTTGTTGATAAGCCGCATGATGGCACTAAACGTCTGGACTAAAAAGCTTTCGTACATCACAGACACCCCAAGGCAACAATACCCAGTAGCCTATAGTTTAGTACAGTATAGTAGGCCTACAGTACAGCCCCATTTCGCCATTTATTTTCTATGCAATGGTATCTATCCTATAGCCCAGGGTTTCCCAAACTCGGTCCTCGGGACCCCAAGCGTTGCACGTTTAGATTTTTGCCCTAGCACTACACAGCTGATTCAAATAATAAACGAATCATCAAGCTTTGATAATTTGAATAATCTGTGTCGTGTTAGGGCAAAAACCAAAACGTGCACCCCCTTGGGGTCCCGAGGACCGAGTTTGGGAAAAGCTGTATAGCCTATTGATTAATGAATTGTGCCTTTGGAAAGTCGGTTTGGAGACAAGTAAAGTCTACTCCATGTAGCCTATAGGTCTACATAGGCTAAAGAGTGGTTCCTGTCATATTTATTAATATACCTTACATTTTCAAGAGAGATTCAGAGAGCTAGGCAAATTGGTCATATAACTAATTGATCGTTAAAAAAATGAAGTCATAACTCCGATTAATTTGATCTATGTAGCTTTGACGGGATGCAGGGGCGGACTGGCCATCTGGCATTTCTGGCAAATGTCAGAAGGGCTGGTCAATTTTTTGCCTTGTGGGCCTGTCTAACTAATCATTATCTGGCTAATAATGGTGGCCTCAAGGGAAAAAATGGGCTGGTCTAGGGGCCTCCAGGAAAAAAAATTCGTTGTGGGGGCCTCAAGGGGGGAAAAATGGGCCATTGTGTTAGAAATGCCAGAACCGATTTCTGGTTCCAGTCCGCCCCTGATGGGATGGGACAGGCTGAATAAAACAGGTTTCTCAGTGGCATTCAGACGTTGACAGGCTGCTGCGGATTTAAGTTTATGCAATAAATCAATAACTGGAGCCGACATTTTTATTTGACCATTTGCAGAACTGTCTTGTCTGATTGATAGTGTAGTTGTCTCAAAACTATTCCAAACCTTGCCATAGCGTACCTCTTTAAGGTTTGACAGAAAAATACAGTTAATGTCTGTCTGTTAAATTCATTGTTGCCAGCCCAACCAATCATAGATTTTGACGACACAAAAGAGAGGCCAAAGTTGCAGTATAAAAAGGGCTGCCGAATTAAAGTATGACACCTATCAGTGTAGAGCCTGATTTCAAACACATGCAACTCTGTAGTCCGCCTTCACGCCAATACTTATTAACTTTGGGATTCCATTTTTATAGCAAACTCTGCACCTTAGATAATGCATCTGACACAGGTTCTGATTTATCTGAGTTTCATGGTTGCTTTCGGTCCAGTGGGTCTTGGTGATCAAACCGCGCACCACCAGCCCCCTGCCACAGATAACGGCGAGCAGTGCTCAACATGCGAGGTCCGACAGCAGATCAAAAACATGAGATTACACGCAATCAAGTCCCAAATTCTTAGCAAACTGCGACTCAAGCAAGCTCCCAATATCAGCCGAGATGTTGTCAAGCAACTCCTGCCAAAGGCACCACCTTTGCAGCAACTTCTTGACCAGTACGATGTACTTGGAGATGACAGTAAGGATGGAGTTATGGAAGAAGATGATGAACATGCCATCACAGAAACAATCATGACAATGGCCACTGAACGTAAGTTTAACAGACTATTATTCAATGCAACTATACACTGAGTGTACAAAACATTAGGAACACCTGCTCTTTCCATGACATAGACTGACCAGGTGAATCCAGTTGAAAGCTATGATCCCTTATTGATGTCACTTGTTGAATCCACTTCAACCAGTGTAGCTGAAGGGGAGGAGACAGGTTAAAGAAGGATTTTTAAGCCTTGAGACAATTGAGACATGGATTGCGTATGTGTGCCATTCAGAGGGTGAATGGGCAAGACAGTATATTTAAGTGCCTTTGAACGGGGTATGGTAGTAGGTGCCAGGCGCACCGGTTTGAGTGTACGCTGCTGGGTTATTCACGCAGCAAAAACAGTTTCCGGTGTGTATCAAGAATGGTCCACCAACCAAAGGACATCCAGCCAACTTGACACAACTGTGGGAAGTATTGGAGTCAACATGGGCCAGCATCCCTTTGGGACGCTTTCGACACCATGCCCCGACTAATTGAGGCTGTTCTGAGGGCAAAAGTGTCTGCAACGCAATATTAGGAAGGTGTTCCTAATGTTTTGTACACTCAGTGTTTAATAACGTTAAAAAGGTACCAGAGCGCAGCTGTTTTTACGCATGGGGCACAGAGAGCACCTGCATGTCTGATCCCGTGTTACTTGCACCACTATGTTGAGAATAGGTTGGAATTTCATACGAATGATGGAATATTTTTGATCCGAAAAACCACTATAGAACATTACGCAGTAAATTTACGAACAATTAAGCACGAGCCGAGTTCCATCTTATAATGTGCCAGTGTCACTCTCTGGTGTTGAGTGTGGAGGTTCTAAAACTAGATAGGCTAGGCTATATTGGAGGATACCCTGGAGATTACACATTGTTGTGTTTTATAGTATATCAATACTTGTCATGACATTGTAACTTTAAATATACCTTTTGAAATTGGTTTACCAAGGGGTTTCTGTAACGAAAACACAATTGTGGCTTGTGTTAAATACAACTGCAAACTTGTTTTTGCAGTCATTTAATTTAGTTTATAAATCACATTTTATTGTGGAAATAGAGATGACATTTCCATATTGTAATTAATGTTCTAATTTCTCTCCTACAGCCGAATCCATCGTCCAAGTTGATCGGAAACCCAAGTGTTGCTTGTTCTCCTTCAGTTCGAAGATTCAGGTGAACCGCATAGTTCATGCGCAGCTATGGGTGCACCTTCGGCCAGCTGACGAAGTCACCACGGTGTTCCTACAAATCTCCCGCCTGATGCCTGTCACGGACGGGGGCAGGCACATAGGTATCCGGTCTCTAAAGATCGACGTGAATGCAGGAGTCAGCTCTTGGCAAAGTATCGACGTGAAACAAGTGCTGTCGGTGTGGCTGCGGCAGCCGGAGACGAATTGGGGGATCGAGATTAATGCGTTCGACTCGAAGGGAAATGATCTGGCCGTTACCTCAGCAGAAGCGGGAGAAGGACTGGTGAGTTTAGATTTATCTCCCATCGAAGCAATTTACAAATAGTTTTGTAGTTTATCATCGTGGGATCTATGGGAAGTAATCCATAACCCATGTATTAATGCGTAATAATGCAATATCAACATTTACTTGTTGTGCCAATTCATTTTTGTGTCGAATTGTGTGGCAAGACTCACTTAGAACCATGGCTCAGAGGGGTTTTGGCACCCTGTGGATTTGCTCTCATGTGCTTTTATGTTTAGCTAACAATCACATTTTAAAAGTACTTTAGAATCTTTAGTATAAACACACAGACCTAATTTAAGGAGTTCATCTATGACATAATATTTGCCCTGGCCACCAATAATCTCATGTCCTATCACCTGATTACATAAAAATTCACATTGTTCACATGGCCAGAAATTCCAGAAGTCTTCTGTGGTACTGTGCTAATCAGAGTAAGAGTAATTGCCTAAAGCTTAAAATAGCCTTTGTCCACATGACGAGGAAGACATTTCCTTGTTTTACTGTCCTTGTGGGGACTTTTGGGGATTTTAGGTCCCCACAAGGATATAAGTACCCACCCACACACACACATTTTCAGTGGTTCAAAGTATCACAACACCAGGTTTGAAACCTTAATGTAAAGGTTCAGCAATGTTTTATTGGAGTAAAAAAATCAAATATGTTTCCCAATGTGTCAACCAATGCCTGTTTCATGTTTTCAACCATTCTGTATTGTGCCCTTACAGCAACCCTTCATGGAGGTGACGATTTCGGAGGGCCCGAAGCGCTCCAGGAGAGACTCGGGCCTGGACTGTGACGAGAACTCCCCCGAGTCCCGCTGCTGCCGCTACCCCCTCACGGTGGACTTTGAAGACTTTGGCTGGGACTGGATTATTGCCCCCAAACGCTACAAGGCCAACTACTGCTCTGGTGAGTGCGAGTACATGCACCTGCAGAAGTACCCCCACACCCACCTGGTGAACAAGGCTAACCCCCGGGGCACCGCAGGGCCCTGCTGCACCCCCACCAAGATGTCCCCCATCAACATGCTCTACTTCAACCGCAAAGAGCAGATCATCTATGGCAAGATCCCCTCCATGGTAGTGGACCGCTGCGGCTGCTCGTGAGCGAGAGCTCTGCCGGGGAGGGGGAGGGGCTCAGCCATGGTCTCCACCCTGGACTTTGGGACAGATCCATCCACCACTACCAGTGCTTTCTGCAGAACACGGTGCAATAGAGCCAGAATAGCAGCTAAAGAAATGCCCGTCCATTCGCTGAGCAGCGCTTCCAAAACGGGCATGTCTCCTTCAGTTTTATTCATTTTAATTTTCTTCCCTCCTCCAATCACATGTTCGCGCCACAATGGCCTAAAATCACATGGATGTAGGAACACAACGCCTGTTGGACTTGGGAGTGGACGTAGTAGCCTAAAGTACGACACATTTTCCCACAAAACTGTTAAATGTTACACGCTCCGTCCAGTTATTCAAACATACAGACATGGATGGACACACACACACCAGACCTGGGTTCAAACAGTATTTGTTTTCTTTCAAATACTTTGACTGTTTGATGGAGATGGGTGGGGTTTTCACTTTGGGGAATAAGCACAGCTTAAGTATCGGAAAGAAAAAAAATCATATTTTAACCCAGGTCAGAAACATACAGTGCCTTGCAAAAGTATTCATCCCCCTTGGCGTTTTTCTATTTTGTTGCATTACAACCTGTAATTTAAATGGATTTTTATTTGGATTTCATGTAATGGACATACACAAAATAGTCCAAATTGGTGAAGTGAAATGAAAAAAATGACTTGTTTCAAAAAATTCTAAAAAATAAATAACGGAAAAGTGGTGCGTGCATATGTATTCACCCCCTTTGCTATGAAACCCCTAAATAAGATCTGGTGCAACCAATTACCTTCAGAAGTCACTTAATTAGTTAAATAAAGTCCACCTGTGTGCAATCTAAGTGTCACATGATCTGTCACATGATCTCAGTATATATACACCTGTTCTGAAAGGCCCCAGAGTCTGCAACACTACTAAGCAAGGGGCACCACCAAGCAAGTGGCACCATGAAGACCAAGGAGCTCTCCAAACAGGTCAGGGACAAAGTTGTGGAGAAGTACAGATCAGGGTTGGGTTATAAAAAAATATCCTAAACTTTGAACATCCCATGGAGCACCATTAAATCCATTATTAAAAAATGGAAAGAATATGGCACCACAACAAACCTGCCAAGAGAGGTCCGCCCACCAAAACTCACAGACCAGGCATTAATCAGAGAGGCAACAAAGAGACCAAAGATAACCCTGAAGGAGCTGCAAAGCTCCACCGCGGAGATTGGAGTATCTGTCCATAGGACCACTTTAAGCCGTACACTCCACAGAGCTGGGCTTTACGGAAGAGTGGCCAGAAAAAAGCCATTGCTTAAAGAAAAAAATAAGCAAACACGTTTGGTGTTCGCCAAAAGGCATGTGGGAGACTCCTCAAACATGGAAGAATGTACTCTGTTCAGATGAGACAAAAATGTAGCTTTTTGGCCATCAAGGAAAATGTCTGGCGCAAACCCAACACCTCTCATCACCCCGAGAACACCATCGGCAGGGACTGGGAAACTGGTCAGAATTGAAGGAATGATGGATGGCGCTAAATACAGGGAAATTCTTGAGGGAAATCTGTGTCAGTCTTCCAGAGATTTGAGACTGGGACGGAGGTTCACCTTCCAGCAGGACAATGACCCTAAGCATACTGCTAAAGCAACACTCGAGTGGTTTAAGGGGAAACATTTAAATGTCTTGGAATGGCCTAGTCAAAGCCCAGACCTCAATCCAATTGAGAATCTGTGGTATGACTTAAAGATTGCTGTACACCAGCGGAACCCATCCAACTCGAAGGAGCTGGAGCAGTTTTACCTTGAAGAATGGGCAAACATCCCAGTGGCTAGATGTGTCAAGCTTATAGAGACATACCCCAAGAGACTTGCAGCTGTAATTGCTGCAAAAGGTGGCTCTACAAAGTATTGACTTTGGGAGGGTGAATAATTATGCACGCACAAGTTTTCAGTTTTTTTGTCTTATTTCTTGTTTGTTTCACAATAAAACATATTTTGCATCTTCAAAGTGGTAGGCATGTTGTGTAAATCAAATGATACAAACCCCCCAAAAATCCCATTTTAATTCCAGGTTGTAAGGCAACAAAATAGGAAAAATGCCAAGGGGGGTGAATACTTTCGCAAGCCACTGTACGTGCACACACAAACACAGACTCATTTCCCCCAAGATTTTACAGCTACGCTTACCTATCGGTGTGATAATCATATAAGCAATGTTTGAGAGTGAAACCGGGAATCCTCAAGGACTTTTGAAAGGGCTTGGAAAACTATAGCTGAGGACTCAGTCTGAACTGGCCTTCATGCATAATGCCATAAACACCATATACACACACAGCAACAGTGCATTCTTATTCAACTTTTAATCATAGCTTAACCACAATTCAACTGCCTGAACTGCCCTACTCACTTGAATTATTCTTATTGTAAATCAACATTACTGGACAGGAGGACTTGAACCGGAGGCACAATGAATGCAGTCTACACATTGAGATGTGTTTAAGACAGATAAATATATTTTGAAAAGTATGAATGTTAAAACCACATTTAAACTCTGTCTTACAAATAACACAGTTTGCACTATGGCAAACCAATATAAATAATTGGTTGCTACAAAAGTTGTAAAAACTGATTTTGATATGTTTGCTAATTTGTATTGTATACATATGCCATTGTTTCCATTAGCAATTGCCTTTCTAATCCACTGTTAGTAAATGTATAAGACCATAAACTAGCAAGAAAACTGTACAAATGCAACTATATACCTGTTAAACAAATAAAGGTGCTTGCTTATATGTTAAGTTCAGTTATTTCATCCAATAGCTTGGTAATGGTATTTTACTGCCCTAGGAATACTAAAGATGTGAATGTATTCTAAACAAGGAACGATGTGCTCCTTCAGCAATGAGTTCTGAATGACATAAGTGACATGTGGAATCATATACAGGTAATTTATAACATTCCTGTTCATGTGCATTTTGTTCACAAGCCTCAGTCATTTAAATTGAATCATAAGAAGAAGGTTCTCGTGATAAACACATGAATAATAATAAATCATAATAATATGCCATTTAGCAGACGCTTTTATCCAAAGCGATTTACAGTCATGTGTGCATACATTTTTACGTATGGGTGGTCCCGGGGATCGAACCCACTACCCTGGCGTTACAAGCGCCATGCTCTACCAATTGAGCGACAGAGGACCACAGACTAATGCATCCATATGGTTCCAATTCACATAAAATGAATGTGGATTATAGACAGCAATATAGTTCATTCTGTTTTCCCCTGAACAGGCTTCAAACTCAAAATGCTCTGCACATCACCACTTATAGCCAACCGTCTTAGCCAACAGAGCAAGAGACAGGTGTGTCATTCCATGAGCGACAATTGGCTTTAGATCTCAAGGAAGGTGACAGCGATGTACTCAAGCCAACATGCTACGTGAATTTCTCATCCACTACACAGGCAATTCAGCTAAATAGCGCAAGACCCAAAACCATCCCATCCATGGTCACAGAAAGTGTGCCCAGGCTAAGGAACAGCATGGATCCTCCCATACCCCATCAAAACGATTGGACCAACATGGTGCCTTTCAGCTGACCAATCACACGGACCCAGCCAGCCCTGGTGTTACCATTTTGTTTCATCATCAAAACAACATACAGTAATCAGAGTAGTCTTGATAACATATGTCTCATTCACTTGAGTTTATCCATCCTTATTCTTTCAACATATGTCTTCTACTGATGGATAAGCAACAGGATGTGTGTGAGATTGTGTATGTGCGTGCACCCATGCATGGATGTACAGAAAAGTAATGAGATCAACATTCACTGATACCATTATATCATATGTGGTGTGGACATCATTCATGCCAACTTTCATTCAATCTGCTTTTCCAGCTGGGGGTTTTGCAGTCAGTCAGGGCTGTAGAAGGCATTGCGGTCTAATGAGAGGAAGTGAACTCTGTTGCATTCTGACAGCATAACTCATTGAACTGATGGCTTCATGAGGCTTCACTTCCGCCCAGTAGAGGGCGAACTGAGCATTGGCCCAGAGTGACTTCCTTTCCTGCTGTGAGCTGGAGGCCTGCCATGACAGTCAGGTGGGACTCTAGCACAGGGTTTCCCAAACTCGGTCCTGGGGCCCCCCCTGAGTGCATGTTTTGGTTTTTGCCCTAGCACTACACAGCTGATTAAATAATTAAAGCTTGATGATGAGTTGGTTATTTGAATCAGCTGTGTAGTGCTAGGGTAAAAAACAAAATGTGCACCCAGGGGGGCCCCAGGACCGAGTTTGGGAAAACCTGCAGTCTAGCAGATAGGGGCAGTGAATTCACAGAACAGCTTTCCTTGAGGACATTTTTTTCAAAAGTTATCCCTTGCCCACTGCCATCCCTAGTCATGCGTACAGACACATAACAGGTGCATTTTCAGGAAGGAAAGCACTATGGGAGAAAGCTTTACACATTATGTGGGCCCTACACATATCATGCATTTAGACAACATAGCAATGGAAGGAAGTTCTAGAAAAGCCACAGTAATAGTAGTAGGTAGAATTTAAAAAATCCAGTTACTTCCAAATCATTCTCAGAGGTAGAAGAGATCAATTCAATTAAAACATGTAATCAATTACATATACACAAATAACACTACATTGAAACTTATTAATAAGATGACAACATTACATATGATGATTTTCCACAATGTTTATGATTGTTGAAAAATTACACATCTAGTTCAGTTGATGTAATACCTGATGTAACACTTTACAATATCAACTCAAAAAGAGATTAATTAACATTAGTTAATGCAGCATTTAGCACAAATACATGATTAAATAATAGTGTTACAAATCATTAAGTATTCTTTATGCCAACATCACATATTTGCCATTAAGTTTACAATGAATATTTGTTGAATCTAGTTCAATGTAGATCTAATACCTAATCGGCAGTACTTTACAATACAGCTTCATTAACTAAATAATCAACATGAGTAATGAGTTAATG